ACATAGAGATTCAGTACGTTTGTCATATTATAATCCATTCTTATTCCATAAGTAAATAAAACAAACATACGTATATGCACAAAACTAAATAATTGATACGACAGACATTCGTACATGCACAAAACTAAATATTATAATTTATGTATACCAACTACAATGATTATTCATTATAAAATTCAATACTTAACATACTTATTCTCTACCTTCAAACTAAAAAACTAATCATACTTTTTCAATATAATCGATTCTACTTACAAACTAAAACAATACATATCACACTTTGAACATATTATATAAGACACAATCCAAAATTTTAGTTTACAACATAAAAAACGTATGTTCCCGCACTCAAAATCTAGTAATAACATACAAACAAATACGGTCAACTTTCTTTTGAGAACAAATTTTGATTTCGAACCCGAAAATAAAGTCGAAGCATTCTTATAAAATCTAAAAAAATGTTGGCAAGAATACAAATACCGAATTGAACTTAAAAGAGAGAGGGTATCAATGAAAGATGTATAGTTTACTACCACACGTAAAAATATAAGAAGCGGGTAAAAGCATAAACATAAATCTGACACGAGACGTTCGTCAAAAGATTTGGATATGTAATTGCCTTATGACAAACTTCACCATCGCAAATTTCATTAAGAACCAATACTAAAAAACACAATTCTTAGCTCCATAAAACAAACCTAATCTTTTTCCCAGGCACAAGTTCTCGGGAAGCTCTCTCTACTTACTCTCAGGGAATTTGGCCTCGTAAGTCTCTGTAGTCTGCGGGAAACAAAGGAGGAAGAAGATTCGTTAGTGGAGAATGAAATCAAACAGTTTGAAACTGAGACAAGACAAGTCATGTGTACCATGTAAGTAGCTGTAATCATCTTTCCGGCAAACCATCTTCCATGGAGTGCACGTTGCGCTCCCATGGCTGCTTGCGCATTCTCAAATCGCAAGTAAACAAACCCCACGCTGTTCCTGTTTAACCAACAGAGATAATCAAAGTCAGAGATCAGTCTTACTCTTTTCAAGAGTGGGAAATACAAGATCGTAAAGCTCACTCACTTGTCCACAAAGATATGATTCAGTTTTCCGAATTTCGAGCATTCATCTTTAACATCGTCTTTGATGTCCAGGTCAAAATCAGGTTCCGTCTGCCAAACAGATAAATGAATAAAGAAGAATTAGTTTGAGGTAAAAAACTGTCAAGACGCAACAAAACGTTTAGTAGATTAACAAACCTCTGTGGATGGATCAAACATGTTTTTAAGCAGTAGACATTCGCTGGGGACACCAACAGGGTCGAGCGCAGCTGGAATATTTACACCAGGAATAATACCTACCCCTGCGAGTCCAGCAACAGCAGGAAAACCCCCTTGTACAAGAGGAGGAGGAAGCAATGGAGAGATTGTCGAAGCTACACCGGGAATAGACACGGCTGCAGTAAGGCCAGTGCTGCAGAGAAGGTTGGGGTGTTTAGTGGAATTGAAATGAATAATGCAAACTACATAAACAGAAATCAGTAACAGGAGATAGAGGAACCTTGATGCAGTTCCACTGCGATCGAGCTTCTGCATGAGTAGCTGCCGAGATTGTGCATTCAGAGACTGCAGTACATTGTTGGAAACAGGTTACGAGAAAGAATGCATTTACCAACATTGTTGGAAACATCACTCCATTTTCTTCTACTCAACCATGAATCTTACGCATAATAGCTATTTATTTTCATAGAGAACCAGATTTAGCAATGAAATTCTATTTGCACCCTATTATTAAGTTGATCAAAGTTGCGTTCATATTTCATCTATACCACATTCTACATCATGCATTTTCTCTATCTGTTATGTGAAAAAGATTAATTGAGTTATCCCACAATAGATCCATGAAATATATCCTCTTTTGGAAGTTAGTTAGCAAGATTAAGACAGCTACTAACCAGGCCTGCTCCATCATCATCATCCAGATCACCGGTGTTTTGCATTTGTCCACCTTCTGGGACTTCAGTTTGATCTGTTACAGCTGACACCTAAAGAAAAGTAAATATACATCATTAACAGTCATAATATGTGGTGTAACATGCATGTTTAAGAAGCCTTTGACACAGATTCAAGTTGGTTTGACTGCTAAAAATATCCAGCAAAATAATCTACATGCAGGTGTCACAGCTCATAGAATTTTCCTTGGCAGATGCAATAATGTAACATCATCAAGCAGAAAGAACATGAACATCTGTTCGGAAATTATTTCATAGTTTAACCACACAGAGAAAAGATCTTCATTTCTTAGAGCCTAAAACGTACTTAGCACAGCTAAAGCTTTCTACGCCCATCAGGATTGATATCATTTTTAAAATTCAAAAAAAAAGTTCAACCACTACCTTGATTGCACGACCTGCAATTTCCAACTGRCCATTTAGATTCAGTGCGTTTCTAGCATCCTCCAGGCGGGCAAACTTTATGGTTTGGAAAATGAAYGGATTRRAGTTAATCACAKAAGCACATAAACAAGWYAAACGTCATCAAGACAGGCACTGACTCCACCTACCTGCACAAAACCAAATCCTTTGCACTGGCCAGTTTCATCACGAGGTACCTGCACCAGCTCCACACTCCCAAATGGTTCAAAAACCTAGGAATACCAAAAGAAAAGTATTATTATGTCATCTGAACACAAAATATGATCATAAAATAAAYCAATTACAAAAGAGGTCTATAATCCTGAAAGCTCAGCAGGAGTGATTTGAACAATACAGGATAGCACTGTGCTTACAGTTATCGACCATTTATCCAATTAACTCCTCTTAATTAAACATAGAGTAGTTACCCAGAAACATAGTTGTTACCTTTCGCAGATCATCTTCTGACATGTTAACATGGAGGTTACCAACATAAAGACGTCCAGCTCCTCCAGAGTAGGGGCCCAGCGACCCGCCTGCTCCAGCAGCAGCAGTTGTTGACTGAACAAGATTCTTCTCGGCWTCAGATGGTTTTACCATAACAGGCTGACCAAGAAGAGTTTGTCCAGATAGAGCAATAGCCATAGGGACAGACATTGTATCATAAAACTCCACATACCTGCAAGCAGGACCAACTCAGAATCCAAACAGTACTAAAACAAGATACATCATAGCATTTGTGCAATTTATGGGTCCATAAGCTACTTAAAGCTTATCACTGTGTTGACAGTTATGGATACTTTAACATGAACAGAAACTTGCTCTTGCCACACAAGTCTTAAAGAGTCAACTCACCCGATTCCCCTTGAACGCCTGGAAATTCGATCCATAATGATCCGTACATCTCGTACCTAAAACCATATTTAGGAGGCAATGTGTTACAAAAATATGTAACTGAAAAAGACAGAATAACATTTAGATGGCAACATGAAATAGGCGAGGACAAACCTTTCCAGCTCTTGAGAAGAACTCATAAACATCCCTTTCTGTTGCCCTCAAAGCAATCTGTTGTACAGATATCCACAGAAAAATCAATTAGTGATCAAGTTCTTTTCCAAAGGAATCATAGCTACCACCACAAGCATACCTGATAGGCAAAAACTGTTCTCTGGTCTCTTTCTGGATCAGCCTCAGGCTCTACCTTATCCTCCTTTTTATCTTTATGGCGTCTGCATAATAACAACCATGTAAGCTTATTTCATTTGTTACTAGATACCCTTTCATCCATATTTTAGAAGATGTCGCAACATCTTTAGAATATGCCAGAGACAACATATCAGAAGCCATCTTCTGGTATGAAGCAATAAGTTAATATTAGAACAATTCAAAACAGATAAATGTTTCTCCGATAGGCGTACACACGTGAAGCACGAGATGGCCCTGCAGGGAACTATGCGAAGTCAACAAGGGATGTACAGTAAACTCATAAATTTAGATCTTCTTTCATTTTAAAATTAGCACAGGACCAACCTGAAGTCTAACCAAAAACATTTTACCTTCTATTACAATGATAATCTTAAACGGAACGAGCCCCATCAAGTTGTACAGAAGGCAATACCAATGGACCTAATAGCATTAGTATGAACCTGTTAAAACTTATAGCTTACATCACAGTTACTGTAGCATAACCCAAAAGGCGTAAGAGATTCCCAAATTCAGTTGCCAAATCAAGAAAAGGAGAAGCACTAGGAGCCTGTATCTTCAATTTCAGTCACAACATCACCAACCAATAATATTCTAAACCTAACATGAACTTTTCTAGAACGCCAAAGCAGCTGTTAAACACAGTATATATAATATATTTAAGAATCCAATCCTAAAGAGGGAAATAGCAAGCAATAAGMAGAGTATCAGATACAATCACCAACTTGGATGTGTCGCTCTCAGGAAGTATGACCCAATTTATGACAAATAGGTAGATTGATTGACTGTAGTAAGCATTTACGAGAACAAAATATTGAAAAACAAAAAGAGAAGGGGCACCTGCGATCTCTATCACGATCCTTGGTGTCTCTTTCCTTAGTTTCTATTTCCAGGCTCTTTTCTCTTTCCTGACTCCGATGTCGCTCTGATCGACTTCTGCTTCGCGGTGATCGA